CGGTTTTCAGTAGTACGAGGAGTCCCGAGATCAATGTTACAAGCATGGGGTGCGCGATAGACTTACCTCCACGTGGTGCACTCTGGGCAACGTATACTCATACGGCAAAAAGTCTATTAACTTGCCGTTGACTTCACACTTTAAATTACCATCACCCCACTCTATGTCATATTTGACTACTTCCACAGTAATCACCTCACCCTTTTTTCTACCTTTGTGCTTGTCTCTTACATCTTTGAAACACTCTTCACTTCCCTCCCCCTCTCGACTTTTTTCCCGTCGATGTTCCTCCTCCCCTCTGTGAAGCCTGAAGTCAACTAAAGGGTTAATGATAACCGTCAAAACGCCTGCCATTTGATATGAAATAAATGTTACAAGCATAGTCTCCGGGGCTCCGTTAACTTCAAATTTCAACAACTCTGGCATTATAAAATGGAAGTTGATAAGTATACAAGAATATTCGTCTTCTCGAGTGTCGGGAGAAAATTTGAAATGAGATAGCGGGAGACGACCCTTCAAAAAAACTATAAGCACAGAACATTGCAGAAAAATATTATCTTCAATGACCTTGACCTTGCTCTAACATTTTTTAAAGCCAAAACGCTTTTAAAATTCTCAGACTTTCTGCGAGTTGGCTTCAGTTTCAATTGTGCATTTTTTTATAAATGTGGGTAATAAAAATAACCTACATAAAAGCGATAAAGAACGGTCTATTGCCTTGCGTCATGAAATAATTATTGTATTCAAATAGACAATGGAGAGAAAAAACCCACCGTCTTCCTCATTATCTTCGACCTCTTCGGAGGATTCATCGTCTAAAATAAAGAAATTCTTTGGCTTACAATGCTCTAAACACAACAAATTATTCATTTTAAGCTGCTCACATCTCAAAGTAACTCAATTAACATATATGAAACTGGATTTGCATAGATTTCTCATTAGGTTTCTGTCTCCTTCACTTAATCCAACGTAATTTAAAATCGGAATTCTAAGCATAGATATATATACCAAAACATCGCTGTATCAATGTAATATTTAAATATCTGAACAGCTATGCATCTCCCTTGGAAAGTAAAAAACGTTGAATCTAAAAAACATTCTATCGCTGCGTTGTCTACTTATCTGTGACTTCAGGTCAGGGTCTTTATGGTGGCCCCAAATTTGTTCCCATTCACTCTCACGGCTAACACATTCACAATCCCTTCCTTAGACATGTCCAGCGTCGAAACATCGAGACAAAGGGACACAAAATTCGCATTCTGGTAAGAAATATTTTCAAAGTACATTTTCATGAACTACTTACTACCAACTCCTCCTGAATTTCTTCTAAAACATCTCAACTACTATCAGAATCGGTGTCAATTTGCAAGAAACATCAACATGTATGCACTAGCGTGACTAATAAAATTTCAATTAAGTCCCCAATAAGTGACAGATAGCACTTTTCAACTTCATAATTACCATGTATAAGCATATTGATGCCTAGAAAGTTTTCAGTCTAAACTGTTTTAATTATTTTTCCCAAATCAGATATCTCTTGGCAATTTGGTTATTTTCTCTCACAAACTCAAACGGAAAAATGTTTCAGACAGCTCCCCATACCCACTCTCACACTCCATTAAATCTTATTAAAGTACGAGCATAACTCAAAGCCGTAGCGTTATTGGATAAGCGAATCCCATATCAGGTATCAGAGGCTTAATCAATACGGTTTCATGGGTGCTAGGAGTAACTGCACTTCTTTCCTATCCATGAGTCTACTGTAACTTGCTGATAGTTATTTGAAGCAGAAGCATCAGAATGGGAGAAAACTGGACCTCCTACCATTATGCAACAGTGTAGAAGAGCCTTACTTGACAAAAAAATAACCCACCTGTATTCTCATTCTCATCACAACTTTCATCGTCATCCTCGCTATCACTAGAATCATCGCCTTTGTCCTCAACCATTCTCTTTTTGCTCTTGATCAATTCCATCAGACCAAAAGCGGGCTTCTTCTCATCCACCTTCTTTCCAGATCTCGTCTCAGAAACACCATTCAGCTGCTGAACGAGGACTTTTCCAATTCTCTCAGCACGTGGCTGAGTGGTGGAGGAAGGATCTTTGGACTTAGACGATGCACTTGAAGGAGCTAAAATTGCAGCTGATGGCGTGGCTGAAACGGGCTTATTCTTGTCGGAGGGTTCTTTGAAGGCGAAATTCACAGTGATAGGGTTGAATTTGAGGGGAAAACGATGGGCCTGGGAGAAGGCATCGAGAGCAACGGCGTCGGAGACAAACTTTACGGTCGCATGACTATAAAATAAGCCAAAGAAATTGTTTAATGCGTGAAAGAAAAAAACATCAAAAACGAGTAAACAAAATATTGAGTCCCTATTGAAAAACAATACCTGCCACATTATGTAAGGGGCTTAGAAATTTACTTAATCTTCGTTTTTAGCCTAAAAAAGGATAAAAGTCCAACGATTTTACTTACCACTAACAATGTTTTAAGACGTTTGTGCTAAACTTAACAGTACAATCTACGAGTGTGACTTATCTTATATGCAGTCAGGCAATATAAAGGAAGCGAAAAGATTATAGCTGTTACCATGGGAACATGCATCAGTAGGGCAGCACTCCAATCGTCCATCTTTCAAACCGGAGGAAGAGAAACCCGTCTCATAAAAAGCGGAACCAGGAAGCAAACTTCTCTAAATACCAATTAACTTGGGAAGTTGTGCAGCACCATAGTCATCAACAAGTGAATTGATAAATCATTATAATTGGTTGAGCAAGAAATATGATAGTCGTTAAAGTAAATAATATTTCGGATCCCCTCCAGATTCAATAAGTTTAGAATTACTGTCAATTATTTGTTAATAAAAATTTAAAACGATTCTAAATACAGGTATGGTAAATGATTAAGGAAAGGATATAAAATTAACATTTAGCAAAGCTTAGTCCATTATTTTGTTAATCAATGCATCTGAGTCATTTTTATCGAAATTTAACAAAACTAAGAACATTGAAAGGAGTTTAGATTTCACTCAAACTTTCATAAGAGTTTCTTAACAATATACAGCATATGCCTATGTCCGAGAAATTTTAAATTGAACACAATGGAAATTTAGGGGTGTGCGATAGGCTTATCTCCACGTAGTGCGCCCTGGTCAACGTATACTCATGCGGCAAAAAAGTCTATAAACCGGCAGTTGAATTCTGACTTCAAACTACCATCACCCCACTGTATGTTATATTCCACCACTTTCACAGTACTCACCTCACCTTTCATCTACCTCTGTGTCTGTTTCTTACATTTTTAAAACACTCTTCTGCCCCCCCCCCCCTCGGCTTTTTCCCATTTGATGTTCCTCTTCCTCTGTGAAGCCTGAAGTCAACTAAAGGGCTAATGATAACTTTCATAAAGCCTGCCATTTGATATAAATAAATAAATGATTATTGGTTCTACAAGCGTTATAAGAATGTATAGCTGATAATACCTACCCTAGATTAAAGTCACGTAACCGTGGAAGTGTAATACTTTTCGCTGAGGGAAAAATAATTTCTAGGTCCGCTATAAAGACATCTGGTGTCAGGCCGGTTACAAGAATACGTGAAAAATCAATATCAGAAACAGATTTGTCGGCAAAAGTATTCAATCCAGAGCGAAGTTCAGCTCGCATGGATTTCCCCGCAAAAAGTCGACCCATAATGGAAAGGCGCTCCTTCTTGGCCGTTTCAGCGTCAGCAAACTCCAAAAAGGCATATCTGTAAGTAGAAGGGATTTTAAGGAAAAAATGGTATTTAAAATTTACATTTTCTTAATCAATAAATATGCTTACGTTCGAAGCTGGTTGGAATTAGGTCTGGTAAAAAACTGGCAGGTCAGAACCTTAGGAATGAACTTCTTGATCATTGCATAAGTACAATTCGGAGGAATGGGTGAGATGTAGAGGCATCGTTTATCGAATTCGGCAGCGCGTTCCTTCATTTCCGAAAGAACAGCCGACTTATTCGAAAGCGAAAATTTTTTCGCGGGAGGACGAATACTCGACTTCTTGACTTTTTCCGTCTTTTTCGATGTTTTAACAAGCACTTCTAAAATTATTTGAGATTTTATCAAGATAGAGAGGGGGGAAAAAGAACTGCGAGCAACAAATTTCGATTACACAATTGAAAAGCTGAAGATAAATAAAAAGGCGGCTTCAATATTAGGGAACATACGAAAATAAAATGAAGAGTATATATGTAATCACAAATCATTTAACATTGCAAATCACAATACGTCAAGATCATTATCCATATTTAAGCTTGAGGGTTTATGATTCCATGATCCACCACAAACTGGTTACGAAATTTGGTTCGGTTTTAGGTACTTCTACAATCTCAGATTTACTCTCAGCAACAAACATCCGAAATGGTCGAATTGACAGCGGATTACATAGAAACATTGATCTACTGTGCACAGGCACACCATCAGCACACTAAGAGCTGCCTATATTTCTACATCATTCAATGCGTCAATACCACAAACGACATTGAAAGTATAGACCTGTTAATTGTCGGTACTTTTAGAGGTTTGAGGTAAGGAGAGCTTTATTGGTCATTCACCATTAGAACATGGAAAAATTATCATATTCCAGTAATGAAATGAGACTTCAATAAGAAATTTTATAGTAAAGCATAATGATAAGGAAAATTTGATGGATAGACATCAAGGACTATAGGCCAATGTTACAGCTGCTGAGAGAAAAACAAAACAGTGGTCCTACAATGAATTCCTGGTCACTGTGCCATTAACGGCAATGAGCTTGCTGACACACTTGCTAAGAAGGGGACAACGATTTTGCAATGCATGGACCGCCCGATGTCTTTCCACACAATGAAGGCCTTAATCAGGAGAGAATTCAAGACCTCAAGGTGCAATGAAATTAAAGCTCGAACAAAGGAGAAACAGTGGACAGTGGCACTCTTCGACATACCCGACTGGCCAAGAATCGAAGCCGTTGCTGAGTTTAGACTACGTATCGGACAGGATTGCCTGGCACAACGCCTTCACAGATTGGGAGTATAAACTCAACCCACATGCCACCTATGTAACCTACAGGAAATGGAGAAAACCAACCTGATTCGGTATCCAGCTCTAGAGACAACGACGGAAAGATAGAGATACTGGGAAGCAAGACAGCTAATGAACTGCTATATATGTACCCCCCCCC